ACAAAGAAGCTTGAAATGTTTTTTTAAAGTAGTCAAAAGTCTGGAATTTAGATGTTACTTATAGCAAGTACAGTTTGAAAAAACAAATAACTGAAAACATAACTTGTGCTTCAGACTATGTTTTTTTTAAGGCTCTGCTCTTAGAATTGTTTTTGGATCACATAATAAATAAATAACCATACTCCTACAGCTAATAATCTCCGATATCAAACTTCATTCCACCATACAGTCAGCATACATTTTTCTACAAGCTCTATAAAAGCATTAAATGTTCATGTTCAGTGAGAATAATCGGGAAATATATTTAGGACTACAAAGACCATCCTTGTAACGCGACGCAATTACGTAAACGTCATCGTTCAGCGTCGTTATATACGTCACATCCCCGGATGACGGTCTTTTTTTCATAGCAAAGGTAAGACTGCCTTGCCTTCGTGTTTCTGTTGAAATAAAATCTGTTTGCATCTGTGTTACAGAATTAAACTATCAGTCTCTAAATATCAGGATACGACTCTTTGTACTATAACGATGCGGTAGACATGGTTATTTTTGCGATTCGTCCGTCATATTTCTGTAATAATGAACAGTTTGGTGTATATGCAGTCCTAGGCCGCCGGCTAGCCTATAACGTTAGCTAGCGGACTAATAGAAACGTGTGGTCGGTCGTACCGACAAACTACATAATTCCGCTGACACATGAGATGTATTTTATAACATTACATTGTCAGTTTTAAGAACGTAAGTCGCTGTCTAGCGACACTTCTTCTAATGTTGCTAATGCTAGCTAACATTACATGCCTGTAATGCATAGGCGAAGGCTGTGGTGTGTAGCCACAGCCAAGCACGTTTAGTAATCATCTGCTGTATTGCCTGGATGTTTTCTTGTGTTAAGCAACTTCTTGCATATTTTAATATTTGTTTCTGCTGCTGCAAAAGCGTTGTCATTTTAAACTAGACACATTTTCTCATAGGCTGTAGTATTGCTACAGTGTTAGCCTTCTGTAAGGTTTATGAATACCAACATTCCAAAGCTGGAATACTGTTTGGAGTCAAGAAGATTATTTAAAAATAAATTCATTTGAAAGTGGACACCACATACTTCTGCTTTACTAACCTTTTTCTTGTTCATGTCAGATGGCAGACGGAGACAAAAAGACTCCCAAGAGGAAGCACGGGAGCCGGAACCCGGTCCTGGCCCGGGGTATCGGCCGTTACTCCCGGTCAGCTATGTATGCCCGCAGGGCCATGTACAAGAGGAAGAGCAAGATCACTGAGACCAAGGTGAGGGCAGATATGTGACACCATGCCAAATAGATGATAAAACCATACACTTGACTCTTGTATTGATGACAATTTGCTTTTTGTTTCAGGTGGAGAAAAAGATTAGGGAGAGGCCCAAGGCAACTATTGTCAAGACAGTTGGAGGAGACAAGAATGGAGGCACTCGTGTTGTCAAGCAGCACAAGATGGTGAGCAAAGTGTAATTTCTTGTTTTTAACCCTGAGTTTATTTTGTTATTAAGATCAGAATTAACTCCCATCATATACTTAAATATACTAAATAAATATATATATAAACATATACTAAATATCTCTTCAAGTATTTGAGAGCACAATTGGTGGCCAGTTTAAAATATCAGGGGCAGTGGGTCAATTCCTCTTACACCTTTCATATAAGCCGATAAAGCAATAGGGACACTTGGGTTCCACAGGGCTATGAGTTCAATTAAATGTACTTGTTTTTTTGTATGGACATGTCTTCCACTATATATTTTTTTGCAAACCTCAATTTAAAATGGTAATGTTTATTTCCATGTGCTCCTTCTGTAGCCCCGCTACTACCCCACAGAAGATGTTCCCCGTAAACTGAAGAGCCACGGGAAGAAACCCTTCAGCCAGCACAAGAGGAAGCTGCGCAGCTCCATCACCCCAGGAACTGTCCTCATCCTGCTCACTGGCCGTCACCGTGGAAAGGTGAGAATCATTTCTAGCGGGTCTTCCCTTTTTAATTTTGTTTAATGTTCAGGGATTATCAGTAATGAGGACATTAACAACACAGGCCCAAAGTGCTAAGATTCTTCTAGTGTGTTAGGAAGCATGGGTGAATTCTTATATATTCTTTGTACGATCAAAGCCATGAAAGATTATACATAAAGTAATGTTGAGATTACAGTCTGATGTCGGGGTTATTTTTTCTCTCTGCTTCAGGGCTAAAAGGGGGTAATTGGCCTGCGTAAAAATGAACTGAATGGGTGAATTCTTTTTTAAATGACTGCTCGCCTAGCATCATGTTTAATCATTTTCATGTTAAGTAATTGAACCTCGAAATCTTCTAAACCCAACGCTGCTCAACTCCTGGTTACAGCCTCAATAATGGAATTGGAGTAATGTTAAATTACTGAATTAGGAAATCCCATCTCTTCCATTTGTATGCCTCCTATTGCACAATATTTCACTGTACATCATTTTTATCAAGGCATTGGTGTGTTTTACTAATTGCATCAGAGGTGGACTTGTGCTTGTTGTTGTACTGTCACAAGTGTAACTGTGTAACAGTGGCAACATAATGGCTGCTCGGTTCTCCCCAACGTACATTCTTATAAAGGCGCATGTACAACCCACGTATCTATAGATAGTGCCCCTCCGGAAAAAAGCCACATGTTATCGTGAATAAAAAAGGAATTTTCTAACAAGCGTGCTTGATGCATCACTATAATCACACAACCTCAGGTCCACAGACACTGGCCGTTTCTCAATCGCAAGTAAAACTGCTGCAGAGCAACTATTTCAAGTATACTACGTCATCGAGTGGTGCCGAAGGACTGTTTAAATGCATGTTAAATGCCCAGCATTCTGCGCCACTCTGACGTAGTATACGTGAAATAGTTGCTCTGCAGCAGGTGTACTCGCGATTGAGAAACGGCCATTGTCTTTACCTCCCACACGCAAATGATGCATGGGCAAGTTATGGAGGCATGCTAGTGTGCCCACACACACTTTGAGCAGTAGCTGACCTAAATAATGTTTCAGCTGTGAATATGACAGTCTTCCTGTTATAATTAGGAGTGTCAGATTTATTTTTCTCCATTCTCAAAACCATGGAATGGAAGCAGCCATTTAACATGTCTTAACCAAATGACACATTTCTTATAAGCTCACTAATTGAGCTGAATAGTGTGAAACTCCAGTACAAAAGGTTGATCCTAAAGAGACTTGATTTTTGTCTTTCAGCGTGTGGTGTTCCTGAAGCAGCTCTCAAGTGGTCTCCTGCTTGTCACTGGTAAGGATAATTGTTTTTGGTGCACATGCTGTTACCTTCACATTTAAGCTGACTGACATTAGAACAGCAATTATTTGGGCATCTTTCTACTTTTCTTAACGTTGCTATTTTCCTGTTTGCGTGTGTAGGCCCTCTTGCGCTGAACAGAGTACCCCTGCGCAGGGCTCACCAGAAGTTCTCCATTGCCACCAACACCAAAGTTGACATCACTGGCATGAAGATCCCCAAAACTCTGAACGATGCCTACTTCAAGAAGAAGAAGCTGAGGAAGCCCCGCCACCAGGAGGGAGAGATCTTCGATACAGAGAAAGAGGTGAACTAACTGGGCTATTGTCTTTTAATGCCTTACTTTGAACATTTCAACAGGACTTTGCCTTCCACATTTTTACATCACTCACGGATTTCTTCTCCATGTCTCTGTGCAGAAGTACCAGCTGACCGAGCAGAGGAAAGAGGACCAGAAAGCGGTGGACGCTCAGCTCCTGCCCCTCATCAAGAAAGTACCTCAGCTCAAAGGATACCTTCGCTCTTCCTTCAGCCTGTCAAATGGAGTCTTTCCACACAAGCTGGTTTTCTAAATGTGTTGTAATAAACAGTACCACCGTCTAATCCTCTTTCCTGCCTCATTTGTGCTGAAGCTGAGTATGTGAAGGCAATGATGGAAGTTGAACTAAAAAGCCTGTGCTATAAGTACAAATCCTTCATTTTTAAATGGTACATGTAAAAAGTATGAATATTTAATGTAGATGATGGTTTTGAAGCACTCAATAGAAGGAAAGGGCTCATTTTTGATGCAGTAATATAAAATTAGTTTTAATGTTGTGGCTGGTAGCATTACAGCTAATGGTTAATTGCATAACCATGCCTGCATTTCAGGAAGTGGGTATGAGAACCGATCTGTGAAACTAGTAATTTGATTAATCAACAGGTGGGAAGTGAGTATAAATACTTCATTACTTACGTACATTTTTCTGGTATCAGTACTTACTCCACTACTTATTTTTCTGACGACTTTTTACTTACATTTTTAACACATACCTGTACGTTCTACTTAGTTTTTCATTACAAGTTTGTTACTTTAGTTTTAATCTGTCAGATGGCGTGATTAGTCATGAGGGCCTATTTTTAACACTATTATTCATTTCCTGGTCTTCAAAGAGGGACCAATGGAAACGTAATTTTGCCGTTCAGCATCAAAACATTCATTAGCTAACAGACATTGTTTTATTATGAAGTGAGGTCAGTTGCTATTTAAATCAGTCAGTATTTCTATCACAGTATTTTTAAACACTAGTATCTACTTCTTGAGTAAAGGATGTGTACTTTGCCATCTCTGGTAATCAAATGTGGTAAAACACAATGTTCCCCTTTTAAAATGGAGTGGGACATCGCATACAAATGAATTGAAATATATTTCTAAAGAGTTTGAACATTCAAATGCGTTGTAATATTATCAGGTTTATTCTGTTTTGTTCCCTTGCAATCAACCATAAATGAGCATCAGATATAGCCAAAGATAATTGTTCTACTACAAAAGCTCTAAGAAGCTGGCATGATGAGTGACTTGTCTTTCAAGTTATGGCGGAAAAATGTCAATTGCATACACTCTACTGTGTTAACTGCAAATATAGGATTTTATCCCACTTGTAATGTTATGCCTTTTGCTAATATTACCAATCTCCTGGTTCAGTTAGAGTATAATGAAGTGACCACACCAGACATTGGACCCAGACAGCTTAACAGCTACACTTTAATAAAAAAAATGACATGTCTAATGTAACAAGACAAAAATAAATACAAGTTTCATCTCTTTAACATGGCCACGTTTTTTTTATCCTCAAAAACAGAACAAAGTAGAAAGCAGCACAGAAAAAGGCAGCGGCCCCTTGCCAAGGAATGATAAGTGCCTTTGTCGAATCAGTCAGTACTGTATGTATGGTCAGCTGATTTAGAGAAAATGCTTCTCTCAGCCCGACTTGAACAGCAGGATGGCGACTTGACCCAAGTAGAAGTAAATGAAATGCTTGGTCTCATGGGTCACGTAGCTGCCAAAGTTCCTCCCAACGATGCAGTGCCAGGTTGGGTTGTATTTCTTGTCAAACTCCTGTGAGGGGCGAATAAATGTATTGATCAAACATTTGTGGTCCAACATGTTTGGAGGTGAAAACAAAATACATTATTAAATGCTTATATGGTGAAGTAATGTTTCTTATTTGTAGTTTCATATGCTATATCACAACTACCAAGTAATACATGTTTACGTATCTATATTTTTTGTAACTGGATATGGTTGATTTATTGTGACCAATGGGCCACGATCAAGACGCAAACATTTCTTACTTAGAAATGTTAAACTTAAAGTTGAATTTATAACTAATTTGTTTGATAAGCATCTTTTTTTTTCTTTCAATGATCTTCTGGATAAAATGCATTTTATAATGGGAATTATTCAAAAATTATTTTGAATTGCCAACGACTGGTTTTGTTTTTTGAATTATGTAAATTTCTTTGAAATACTACATGTTGCTCAAAAGTCAGCAGGTTAAAGATTCAATTTGTTTGAGTCTACTTTAAGACTTTTAATGAATGGAAGTATTTACCTTCTTGATGTATGCAGCGATATCTTTCTCGATGTTGTACTTCTCCAGGGCCTGAGTGGCACACTCCACGGCGTCCTGCTGCATGTCCTCCGACATGTCGGCATTTTTTATCACTGCCTTTCTGTCAGACATGGTTGTCCTGGGAAACCAAAACACAGCGGAGGATTTATCATCTTCACGGGCGCATTGAAACACACACAATACAAAAGACCCTGAGCATCCCAACAGTCCTTATCATCGATTGACTGAAACGATACGGTATGGTTAACGTACTTGGTTGTCATCACCCAGTAAATAAAATGGTTTACGTTAGTTGGTGACGAGTTATCGTTACATAATTAGACACATAATGTGAACTAGCCGTTTCTACAAGTGTTGCATAACAACTCCATCAAGCTCAAAGGATGCGCGCGCTGCGTAGTTTCTATGGATACGCAAGACATTTTAGATTATCGTCTCAATTTTGTCCAAGGTTTAATCCAGGATCCTATTAAACTAAATGAAAGACCATTTTCCACAAACGTTACCTAACATTATAAAGCAGCGAAAGGACAAGCCTCATTTGCCCTAACGTGCAGGATACCAGGAAAAGGCACATTTCTCATAATAACATAACGTTTGTGATAAATATGACTTATCCGAAGTAAGGTGTCATGGGGGTTTGCTAACAGACATCGATACATGCTTATTCAGCGACGACGAGCCTCTCATTTGCTAACGGTTGCGATAACTAGCTACTCATTCATATTGGAAAAATAAACATCGTCTAACAGTCAGCACAGATTTAATCGTTTTGATAATGATGAAAACTAAGTAAAGTACACATGCAGTCATTTTAAAATGCGAAATTGTTAAATGTACTTACTAGTCTCTCGTATAGTGTTGTCTAGTTTTAAAGAGATGACCGCTCCTGTTGTGATAACTCCCGCGAAGTGGTTGACACAAAAGTAATGTGGGTGTGTAGCGGTAGAAGACTGCTGCCTTGCCATATCCCCATTGGCTGTTATTAATGCACAGGGCGTTATCATTGGCTGGTACAGGCCAATGTCTCGGGTATTTCTGCCCGCATTTTATTTCAAACCATCATGCCTTGCGGTCGTTACCGCGGCAACCACTGTAAATACATTGCTAATGCCAAAGATGCTAAATAACTTTTTTTTTTAAACCAACACTGTTATTCTATGGTCCATGCCTCACTGATGGTAGGCACTAGGCAGGATATTTTAGTACTTCGTTTACAACTATGTTGTAAGTGAAGTTAAAGAAAATGTAGGCCTAGTCAATGTGAAACATTTTTGTTGGAAGAAGCAACATATTTATTTCTAACTGGAAAGGTTATTGGTTCAATACATGACTTATGCTTGTATCCTTATCCATAGCACGGGTACAAGTTACATTTAGATAAAGGCATAAAACATTTACAAAATAATAAAATTACCCTTTTTCAGCTTTTATTAGTCATACGTACATAGCTACAGTGTAGTTGTGATGATGAAAATCTTAGGTCACAGGCTCCACCAACAGTGCAACACAATACAACAGTGTGTGCAAAAAATGATTAATAATGACCAATCCAGTATGTCATGGCATAGTTTCATAAAAAAGGATAAAACATTGAACACACATTGATGATAAATAAATGATAGTATGAAACATAACAAGTCGTGGTTCAGCTTTTCTTAAAAACAAAAAAATCCTAGTAGTAGCCTACTGTAGGCTATGTCTTTTTCAAAAAGACTCAAAATCCAATCATTGTTTTAGTACACTGGACAAATATGAACTTTTTATTGTACCAACTATTTTGAGTTGTGTGTGTTGAAAAGTGTAATTTCTATTTCAATACATTCTATATATTGAGACCCATTGACTCCCAATCTGAACCAGATACAAACCTAACACTGTAAAATTAAGACACACTCCTTTTTATTTGGATTTGAGTTCACCTTCTATTTAATGTGTATGTAAAAATGTGTTTGTTTCCCCTTCATTTCTTTAAAAGCTTACATGTCATGTGACCAAGTGACTTCAACTCCATACCATTTATTAATTCACTGGAACACACACACACACACACCTTTTAGTCCACCCTGGGTTAAATATTATTTTTATCGACATTCAGCACTATTTTCTTTTGATTAGCTTTATTACTACACTGAATTCACGGGACACACATCTGTTTATTGGACTTAGTTCATTCTATGTCATGTCAATGATCCCAAATAATATCAGACCAGATATTATGACTACACTTGACAAAAAGACACATACAGGTTTCCATGGTTTTATTTTCTTAAATATCTTTTTAGAAAAGGTTACAATCCTCCCCATAAAGAAAACTAAACAGAATCCATATACTAATATTTAAGTTTTGCAATACAGATTCAAGTCTGTATCACCAAGGTTCATGGTAGCAGTATTTCAGTTGAATAACTGTATTACTTTTATACTTTCTAAATGCCACCCATATAAGCACTGAAGATACAATAATATCATATAAGTAAAAATGTTCACACAACCACATGCAAGAGAAACAAATCTACCATAGTAACATTCACACATCAATCAACAACTGGAAAACATCTCAACACATTGATGATCTTTTTTTTGTCCAACATGGAGCCCCTTAACCACAAATCACATTTGCTTTATTGCATTCTTTCCTTCCGTTTCATCAGTTTGCCCAAATTGGAAAATAAATACTCACAAGTTTAAAAACAGGGATTCTTGAATGTCCATGGTGATTGACATAAAGTAAGAACAACCGCAGTACCGCTGTGGTGTCTGAATGTGTAACAGTTATAAAAACATGTTTGAACAACAAAGCGTTAAAGGGTGCTATATAAAAAGTGAAATGTATATGCGTTGTAAAAAATAAAATTACTGTTGAGAGCATGATTTAAAAAAAGAGCCCAATAAGTCTTTACAAAGATACGTTATGGGAAAATCAAACAAAAAATAAATCTAAATTATAATTTTGTTTTGCAAGACGTGTATGCATTTGGGTTGAAAAGTCATTAAAAAGGGGATGATTCGTTTTCACAGTTGTTATTTTTTTCAGAACATAGTTGTACGGTATACTAACATATACATACACAGATCTTGTTTATAGGAAAGCTGTACAGATGTACAGTATCTGTAAACTTCACTGGCTGCGCTCACTTGGCTCTTTGTATTTGTAGTGGATGTATTCAAAGATGTCTCTCTCACTATCCACCAACAGAGGCTCCCCTGCCACACCTACAACAGATCGAGAAAGGAAAATATTTCATAGTTAGAGCATGAATCATTGATTACTGATTGATGCCAGAAGAACCACATGGCTGACAGATTGAGCAGGGTCATATGTCACATTGGACTGAGACTCACCAGTGACTCCAACAGGCCGTATGGTGTACTCATTGAGAGTGAAGCCTTTCTCCAGAGCATGAGTTCTCATGTTTTTATTGAAGATATCACTTCCAGTGAAATACAGAACTCCACAGTAGTACTGGTCCTTGGGAATTAACCTTGGGGAAATGGAGAACAGTCAGTCAGGGAGCAGTAGAGACAGAGAAAGTAGTACAGAAAGTGGCTTCTTTACTTGGTATATTCTTCTGTACTGGGCCTGTTGAGTATTGTTGTACGTAGAGGCAATGTTTTCATTGGAAAATCATTAGAGATGCAGCAATTGCATTTCCTGATTTCTTAAAAGCCCGACCGTACCTTTCCAATTTTTCTTTCTTTCTAAGAACTATATTTAATAGCATACATAAACATTTCTGTACCTTATTTTCAATATTGACTTGTAAGGTTCATGCATATCATAGGAGAATAAAGGACAAATATTATAGTTTTTCAGTTTTATTTAGAACACTATCTATCTGCTCTCTATTTCTTAATGAAATCATAATTGTTTTTATACAGAAAGTACAAGTCCACTATTAATTATATATCCAAAACAATGTATACATTTATCAATACAAAAGTATTTCGAAATCAGTATTTAACAATAATGTAAATGTGTGTGGCTGTCTGTGCTGCTACGTGTGTGACATAAGACCATCATGCAGTACATGCGATATAATAGAAATAATATAATATATAATAATAATAATAATAAGATATAATATCGGATCGACCGGACAGTTTCCTCGAGAGGCCCATTTTTTATTTTGCCTTTATTTATACAGGTCTCATTTTCAAGAGAGACCTGTTCAGTGGTTACACTACCACACAAAGTTACAGACAAACAGGACACTAAACACATGCACCATTCATTGGTGCATCCCTAAAGAGGATAGATATGAGCAATATAAAGAAGGGCACCTGATATCAATACGCCTGTGAAGGTATTCTTCCTCTTCCTCGTCGCTCTTCTGAAGCTGGCTGACTCCCTAGAAAACAAAATCCAGCACATTGTGACCAGTGATGTTCTTTATGCACTGGGAACTGACTGTGTTGCACATCGATCACACATACAGCTGAGCACCAGAGAGATAATAACTACAAGCCTCACCATGTACTTGGTGTCTCCTTTGGACATATTATCAGTCACAAACCCAATGGACTCGAAATGTTCCACCACGGCATGAAGGAGCTTAGGCTGTAAAAGAAGATAAATGCAACAAAATAAATTGTTAAAAGATGACAAAAGTGGAACCGCAGTTAATCTTAATATCGACGGTATACTGATTTTGAATGAGATACCCTAGAGAAGAGTCTTACCTGCTTCTCAGTCTCAGAGGTGTAGTCTGGGTGGGTCAGCAAAATATCAATATCACCACTCGATGCTGCACCTGGAAATTATGAACATGTGAATCAATAGCTTGAATAATGGAGTTTGAATTACTATTAACTTAAATTCAACTTGAAGGGAAAGTTTTACCTCTCCTGTAGCTTCCACAGATCGTCCCAATATATTCTGTATCGACCTTCTTCAACTCTTCATGAATAAAAGTCTAAACAAAACACACGGTTTAAGAAAACTCTCAATAAAATGTAATAGAAGATAACAAAAACTTTAAAACTTCAAGTACCTCCATCTGCTCCATTTCAGCACGTGGAATCCTTTTCTCAAATTCTTCAAAGTACCTGAAAGCAGCACAAATAATTCATGAAACAGCTGGAGTGATACTAGAGAAAGACTTTAATATATTTGATTATTTGGGTTTTAATGAATGTATTTACACATTTACAGACAACATCCAGCCAAACTTACCTGAGTCCAATCTGTTGATGATGGTTTAGCTTGTGCTCGATCTTTTTCAGATCTAAGAATACAACAAGAAACAGAAAAAAAACATTGCTCAATTATAAATCACACCAAAGCTAAATCTACATTGTGCACATGTGTTGAGATCGGTATATTGTACATCATATACAATGTTCAGCCATTTCTACCTAAATGTTTTGAAAAATGATAATAAACAAACCTTCTAACGTCTTCACCCCTTCTTCAAAGAACTTCCTGGCAGCAGCGGGGCTGAAGTCAGAACAAGGAGATGCATTTGGTAACATGAAGCATTATATTAAAACTATATCAGTATTCAAATCCTAACCATTCCTGCATCACTCCGGAGTGGCTGCTGAACTGGTGCATTTCAGTTTGAATATCCAATTAATAAATATTTGATTTAGATGATTTCCAATGACATACCCAATTCCAGTCACTCTGGTGAGGAAATTAATGGAAGAGCTGGTGTCATCGGTACGAATCTAGAGGAACAAATAGTCATCAGTCTGTGTAATACATTTAAAGTGAGCTATTTTAAAAACGCATACTCTTACAATGCAGCATTATTCAGACATTACCACGTGACTGTATATTAAATAGAACACTAACCTTTTCCAGTTTCCGTAGTGTGCCAGTTTGCAGGAACTCATCAATCTTTTCTGATATTTTAGCTCCAACACCTTCCTGTTGAAATGTAGAAATAAAATACAAAATTGAGAAAGCTGAATAGAGCTATTTGCAGCAGTTATGTAAGATGTAGTACTATTGACAAACAAAGGCTGCAGCAGAGCGCTCTACATGTCCCCAGAAACAAGAGCAGAGTAGTGCTCGAGAAGACAAGCAGTGATGGAGTCCTTTCCAGTTTCCAGGCAGCATTACATGAAATACACCATCAGAAAAGCAGAAATAGCATCAAGTCAGCTCCCCTGTTCAATACAAAGATGGATAATAATAAATGAATCCAAGAAATAGGAAATGCTATTAATTAACTATGAGAACCAGTATATTTGCACCATCTTCCACTACAACTAGTAAAAATGACAATCTTCTAAAATGTAGAATTTATTGCAGGACTGGACTCTGCATTGCGGTGTCTAGGTTTGTTATTGTTACACAAAATGTGCCTCTTGATCATTGTCAACAGTTCACATTTTTCAAACATTCACTGATGTGTTTTTAAGGCAATTACTTTTATGACAGTGAAACCAAATCCAGAGCACATACCAGTTTCTTGGCCTCTTCGCCATTTCTGATTTTGTTAGGGTACTTAGAAATGGTTGATGCTGCTTTCCTAGACAGGGAAAAAGCAAAAGGATTAATACAAAATAGAACATGATAAGGACTTTAAAGAAGCAAATCATTTGTTGATAAAAAGCTGCCTTTGAATGCCAAATCACAATTAATATTCAACTCTTTTTCCCATATAACATTACATATATTATTCACTCATTTGCCAGGCTAAAACATAACAACAAACCCTACCTCTATGAATGTTAAAACATTGAAATGTATTCATATATTTTTTACTTCATGGTTATTTTGTAGTTTGTATTGCGCATAATTATACATGAATGAAGTGAATTAAACACCTCTAAAATGGTTTCTGTAAATTGATTGTCTCTTAAACTGGCAGTTTGGTTTATGCTCTATATGCATCTGATATTGATGTATTTGTTTTGTTAAGATGCCTTGTTGTATTTCAGGCATCTTATCAAAGCACTCTGCTGAAGCTTCAGACCTTACCTGTAAGCGTTGGACTTGTGTATTGCCCTGTTCACGTTTTTCTCATAATTGGCCAGCTCTGAAATGACAAGAGAGACATCAAATGGTTTTTATATGTACCTCTTACCTCTGAAGTTTATTGAAACTATGTTCACAATTTGTTTTATTCCCTCAACCCAGCTGAAGGCAGGAAGCCTTTCAATGACAACACGGTGACTGTCAGCGTCAGAGCTGACAAAACTCAGATTTTAGGTCGAAGCAAACCACATAATTTAGCACATTTGTTTTACAAATATTTACTTCTAGTGCAAAGTATTTTTAGTTGTACTTAAAAACTAAACCCTGGTGCTATGCTAGCTATTGTTAGCCAAACTCAGCCGTCCCTTCCATTCACGTACCGACGAGAAAGTCTGTAATTCCCTCATTTGGGGATTCCTGTGGCGCTTTCCTTTTGCTCATTGTTGCTTTGACAAGCTCTCAGATGTCTGCTGTAAGACTTAAAGGTCTTATATGAATGCACGAAGTCTAAACCTCTGTAATCTTCGCACGATTCTAACTAGCACACTAGCTAGCTCAAGCCGAACAATGACCGAAGTACGCACAGGGGGCGGGGCGGGGCGTGCGTCAACACGTCATACATACTCAGCGGTTTTCCTTTTTTACAGCACTTTTTAATTTCATAAAACGATATACCTTAACGTAAATAGAAGACAGAAACACGTGCATTGGATAAAATGAACGTCTTCAATGGTATTCCAAGTTTGTTTACAATACTTTAAATTATTAAGGACATATATTCTTTCTACAATGTGATCACTGAGTTGTGTCATCATGACAGTTTTACAGAACCAATATGGAGTTCATCCAATCCGGATAAACAGAGAAATAATTACTTCTTTAGCAGTCTGCAACATCTTCAGCATATACACTTCCCAAAATATTCATTATTACAAACCAACAATCAGTTTTACACAAAAAGAAAAACACATCCAAGAAGGTTTTACCAAAGGAACAGTTTTTAATGTACAGTTTACATTGCATCTGATAGGTTAAAAATGCATATTTTCTAGTTGCATGTAAATTGTTCTTTAAGTAACTGATTATCAGTAGCCTCAATGGTTGACCTTATGGAATAATCACTCGTATTATAGACATGAAAATTGCTAACGTATAAATAATCATGAATTCTACAAGTTCAGCATTATTTACATGATGCTTAATGAAGCAGTACATATACAGGACCTTCTCCAGATTCTAATTGGTTAGGAATCTGTTTTCACATAAACTTTGTCCCTGGAGAATATTTGTATGGCTTCCTCAATTTCAGAAAGCCTAGAATCCAGATGAGCCCGACGTGAGCGAATACTCAGATTGTCAGCTTTGAGAGGGAAGGACAACAGCTCCGTCACCAGTGAGCGATGGGCTGAGGAAACAAAATCAATACAATTAGAAGAGCAAATACTCACTACCCATGTCGTAGCTTAAGTTGTGTTGATATCATTAATACAAGGGCAGAAATAAAGAACAATAGAGACATACTCTCTTTGAGGGACTTCAGTGTCTCCTGTCTCTTATTTTCAGGCATCAGCGTGTGACCAGTCGGGGCTGTAGGATCAGGGGCGTTCCTCCTCTTCTCTTCCTCCTCTATTTGCCACCTCTCCTTCCTTTCCTCCAGACTGAATGTGTGTCAATGAAAGTGATAACAGGAATGAGTAACAGGGAGTCAACATGGTTGCTTGCTGGGAAGAGTCATAGGTTTTTAACATGTACTTTTTTTTAATAGAAAAAGCACTTCAATCCTATAAGAAGTTGTATGTCCTGTGAATCCCAGAAGTTCCCAAGAATATATTCAGTTAAAATAGAAGATTTGAGTAGACAGTGATTCTTTTTTAAGATATGGCATGTGAATACTCACTATTGAGGCACCTGTCCCTTAACTGCCATGGGCACAGGCTTATCTCTAAGGTTGGTCAATGACTGGGATCGACGCATCCCAGTTTTTCCTGCAGAACGGGCATTATGTTTTACAAAGTCTATCGTCTGGCCTTGTACCTGTAACTGTATCCACAAACAGAAATGTATAGAATTAAAAAAAAAAATCCTTTATAAATACTCTCTGAACTGACTAAACACTTATTTGCACTTCTCACTTGCAAGTCGAGGTCCTGTATGGAGTTGCAGGAGGTCCGCCGTTGCAAAGTTACAGGAGAGTTTTTAGAGCGTGGTCTTGGTGGAGCAGTAGAATGGGCCTTCAGAAAGTTTTGAAACTGTGGTTTAGAAGTTGGACTAGAAACCTGCAAGGAGGAGACATGATTAAAAGTGATCAAGAGGACATATTTATAACCTAAGAATTTGCAATACTCCCTACCTGTAGTTGGACCATCACCCTGGATGCGACGTTCTCGTATTTGGAGGAGGTCCAAAGAGCTTTGACTGGAGCTGGACGAGACAGTGCCCTCTCTGACTCCTGCTCTTTGCAGCGCCTCTGAATCTCCCTAAGCCGACGCACATTCTCTTTACCAAAGTCATGTACTCGCGGTTCTGAGAGTGAAGAATCACAAACGTTTTTTCAATATCTTTTTCATTTTCGGATCAAGCAAGTGTTTAATCAAACTACCTTACTTGCTTTAACAACTCAAAAATTCAAAAGGGAAAACTAAAATAATAAGATACACGTATACCACAAGAAAAAACAACAAAAACAAAAAAAAACAATTGCATTTACTCTGTTTGGGAACAGGGCTGATAGAGACATCCCCTAGTTTGAGTAGTTCCCCAACTACCCCTCTCTGTCCGCGTTCAAGAATATGGGTGGCATTAGGGCCGATACGGGGAGGATGTGATGGGGTACGGGCACTATAGCAGCGAGGGTACAACACAGGATCTGGAGCGAGCGGCCCTGAGAGGAGTGCCACACTCCCAATGTCGTTTCTCTCTAAACGGCCACATGCTGGAGAAAGAAAGGAAAACTGAACAAGGTCACTTGAGGCTCATGATAAACAATGAGTTATCAAATATGAACAGAAAATTACTCTTTAATAGCAGTTTCCTGCATATGATTTTTGTGTATCATTTATTTAACGTATCATTTATTTAACTTAAAACACACTCATGGATGTCAATAGACTAACTGAAATTGAACTGAAATTCCCAATGGAAACAACAGTTGGAGTTAGTCTTTAGCTAATAGATATTATTTACTGCCCAAATTCATTGGGAAATAAAAAGATTGTTAAAGGGGGTTTAATATAATAGAGCCCAGAGGCTTCATCTAACCTGAAGCAGGTCGCTTGTAGTACTGTGGAAACAGAGAAGGATCTGGGGGGATTGGCCCAGATATCGATGAAGGTCCTTCACACATCTGAAGCTGTACATTTTACAAAAAAAGGAGATGAAAACAGTTAAAGTTACAGTACCAGCTAAGCAGAAACAGCACCTAACAGAATCACAAGGGCCTGCAAAGAGAAGTATTTTCGTCTGAACATAAAGTGAGCAGTGGTTTGCCCTGGCTAAAGGGTATTTCCACCAGAGGCTGAAAGAATAATGTTAGGACACTGATAAAGGATCCCAAACACAAAAAAAAACTATTCTCGTTTGAGGTTGGGGAAAAGTGACTGGACATATCCAGGCCAGCACTGAGAGGCTAAGGAAATATTTTTACTTAATGACAAGCTAGATAAGTAACTAATTTTTAATTACCTCTGCACTACAGGTGGTGTAATAGCAGCAATTTTTCTAGCGGAATATACATCCTAGAAGGTGATAAAATCACACTGTATGACTAACTATACAGAATTGTCGTGTATATGTTAATCAATAGTTAGTCAGTATGAGAGTGAATGAATGAATGAACAAATCAATGAGTCGTTCTTGATATTATAATAATCAAAATGTAGTTCATGAAGAGTTAGATTGCTTTCTAACGTTAAGTTACCTAAACGCTGTCTAAATAAAACTAATGTTATCTTAATTAGCTAGCCTGTTGTAAAGTTAGCAAAATCAACACGATCCATTTCGACGTATTCCTCCTCAGAAATGATTTAACACAAACGTCACCAACACATATTGCAAGTCTTTACGTCGACCAAACAACTGGAACGGGTTGCGATCTGGTTGCGATGCATTAGAATAGTCAAGACAGTTTGTTTACCTTTATTTGTCCTGTTGTTTATCACTGAGGATTTTGTTCACGCAGAGCGATGACGCCGAGGTATCAACACTTGTTTCAATTCTCTTCCCCATGGCAACGGGGCAGTTGCACATAGAACTAGACCTAATAGAAAAGAGCGGTTACCTCTGGGCTGCCAAAATACTATTCGAGTCCCACTTTTATCAAACACAATATAAATCCCAACCTATTTAAAATTAAAAACCTGTAAATGTATAGGTTGTTCAGATTTTATCAGAAATATGACACGTTCAATGCAGAATAATTATAACAACAACAACAACAACAACAACAACATACAACTATGTTTCGCCAAAGCGGACTTTTTTGGTGAGGTTCTATAAAGGGATTGCTGATGACTGTATCAATAATAATGACACATTGAACGAATATGCAACTCGCACCTTAAAAGGTAATTCGTTTTGATAAGCCACAGCCTGCGTGCGTGTGCTCACCTGCAGTTTTAAGTTCTAGCAGGTATATTTCTAGTGTGATCTTGCTGGGGTGTGTGGAAATCATAGACTGTATATACTGATACCCTGAGCATTGCCTTACAGGTTCACATTAAAAACAAATCTAATTTAGTAATCTACGACCGCAATGCTTATAGTTCTAATCTAAACTAGTTTACCCTAAACTGAAATGTTACTATATGATTGGGTACACTACACAGGAGGGAGCATACTACACTGCACTAATATTTAGGTACGCCTGACAGATTTACCTCAGGGCTAAGACACCCTATTCTAAACTATAGAGGTCATTTCCCCCGAGTGGTGAAAGAGTCTTACTACAACAAATACATGCATCATTTCCATAGTGGTTGTTTCACATAGGCAGTATAATCCGAGTAGTATAATACATACATAATACTCAGTCATTGAAATAATGTACTTATGTACATCCCTATATTTGATTTACCAATATTTGGAAGAATGTACTCTTTTTCCTATTTCCTTTGTAATGGCAATGTGTGTGATATACTGTATATTAAATTGTTACTGTAAAAACATGCACCAGGGTAATTAGCTAATCTCAAAAATATTGTATAGTCAGATATATAGTAATAAGAATTGTCTAACATTATACAACTATAAACCGTTTTTTCCTTAATATCAAATGAGTATTCGAGTGATATTATCTGACAGACCAGTAGATCCCAAATAAAAGACCATGAGCTGCAATGAGCAACTTAAAGACTGAACCCAGTGTACATGTGTAAGTGTTTACGAGTAGAATACTATTTAACAAGTTATTTCTGCTCAATGTCATTACACAACAGCCCCGCCCCCGGTTGGAGGTCTGCCTCGCGCCTGCCCAGTGTGTTCTCTCTGCTTTCTCCTTCACTTTGCCCCGCTGCATCCTACAGCACCGTTAAACTCTGCACTTCCCGCCCCATACAGAAAGGTAAGAAACAACTGACTATAGCAAATTGTTATTTTAGA